GGGGTGGTCCCTGCTGAGGGGCGGGGCCAGTCAGGGCGAGGGGCTGTGGTTGTTCTGGTCTCTGGTAGTTCTGCAATTTCAGTTGCTGGGCTTTTATTATATAGGACTAGTGGCCTGGTGCACGAAATTCATGCATGGGGGAGGGGGTGCTCCTCAGCCTGGCCTGCACCCTCTCCAATCTGGGACCCCTCAAAGGATGTCCTACTGCAAGTTTACAGGGATCAGGCCTAAACCGGCAGTCGGACATCCCTCTTGCAATCCGGGACTGCTGGCTCCTAACCACTCACCTGCCTGCCTGCCTGATTGCCCCTAACCACTCTGCCTGTCAGCCTGCTCGCCCCCAACTGCCTCCCCTGCCAGCCTGCTCACCCCAACTGCCCCCTGCTGGCCTGCTCACTCAAAACTGCCCCCCGCTGTCCTGATCACCTCTAACTGACCCCCACTGATGGCCTGTTTGCCCCCAACTGGCCACCCTGATGGTCTGCTTACCCCCAACAGCCCCGCCCCCCACCAGCCTGATCACCCACAACTGCCCTCCCCTCTTGGCCTCTAATTGCCTCTACCTCAGCCCCGCCACCATGGATTTGTCCAGAACATCTGGAAGGTCTCCTGGAAGGTCTCCCAGTCTAATTAGCATATTACCCTTTTATTAGTATAGATAAAGGCCTGGTGCATGGGTGGGGGCTGGCTGGTTTGCCCTGAAGGGTGTCCCAGATCAGGATGGGGGTTTCCTTGGGGTGTGGGGCGGCCTGGGCAAGGGGCCTGTAGTGGTTTGCAGGCCAGCCACGCCCCCATGGGGTGAGGGTCCCCGCTGCAGGGGGTCTGGCCAGCCTGTGTGAGAGGCTGAGGGCTGTTTTCAAGCTGGCCACACCCCCTTCAGGGTGGGGGGTCCCACTGGGGTGCCTGGCAAGCCTGGGTGCGGGGCTGATGGGTGGGAGGTCCCACTGGGGTGCCTGGCCAGCCTGGGTGAGGGGCTGCTGGCTGTTTGCAGGCTGGCCACGGCCCCCTGCGACCCAAGCTCCCAGACCCTCCTTTTTTTCTTTCTTTTTTTTTCAGCGCCTCCTTGAGCGGAAGGAAGCAGGTATCTGGGATTTATTTATCTTCTATAATTGAAACTTTCTAGCCTTGAGCAGAGGCCAGGGATGGCCAGGGAGGGCAGGAAGCTTGGCTTCCTCCATTGCTGGGAGCAACCCAAGCCTCCTGCTCTCCAGCTCTGTGGCCACCGCCATCTTGGTTGGGTTAATTTGCATACGTGCTCCTGATTGGCTGGTGGGCGTGGCTTGTGGGTGTAGCAGAGTGACACCAATTTGCATGTTTCTCTTTATTAGTGTAGATAGCCTCACATTAATACAGAGAAAGAACAATAACCACTCTGAGGGGAGAAGGAAAGAGGGAGAAATGGACAATCAAAGGTTGAAGGTCAAGGGGAGCTGGAGTTCTTTCCTTACCAAAATGTACTGAGAATGAATGGGGAGGATGTAGTCCTTTTCTAAGAATCGTAGGAAAGTTCTAGCCAGGATGGCAATGGGAAGATAAATTCAGCAAGTTCTCACAGAAGACAGAAGAAAAGTCAAAGAGAAAGGAAGAAACAGATGTATCTAGAAAACAAATATTATTTCTTAGTCTTTAGAGAGAAAGGAATTCTTGAGAACTGACTGGCCAACATTAATGAAGAGCCACACTCAGACACATCTAGGGGAAAAAAAAATACACCTGAACATACTACAAATAGTATGCCATTCTTTAAAATAGTTTAATCATAGAAAAAAGCCTAAACACCCTAAATTAGGAATGTGACAGCCCACATTTTTTATCATATCTCACACCAGATACTTTAAAGATTAAAATGTATGAACAAAAAAAAAAGTACTTTAGGAAAATAAGAATAACTTTTCTATTTTTATAGTAGGGAAGAACTTTTGACATAACATAAAGGGAAGAAAACATTTTTTAAAAACTCTGAATTTGAAACACAAACAAAAAATAGATCGACTATGAAAAAACATTTCTAAAACAACTTATAAGTGATAAAGTGAAATATGCTTGACATATAAACTTATTTAAAATAAACCAAGAAAGATAATACTCCAACAAGTGGGGAAAGGAAATGAGTAGACAATTTAGAAATCCCAGTTATATCATTTAATATGTAATTTTGGAACAAGTGACTTAACAGAATCTATTTCCTCACTTCTCAACTTAAAATATTAGCATATTTCATCAATTCTGAGATGTTATTGATTTATACATCAGGAAAAAAAAATGCCATCAATGAAACTATGACTTGCCAAAAATTGTAAAACCTATCACAATGTGAAAATAAAGTGTATCATAGAATTAATGAAATATAGTCAGACCTGTCTTATGGGTTGTTATGTGGATTCAACAAGATAACACATGTGAAGAATTTCAAGCTAAAAGTGGCTTAAAGCAAACACAATAAGTTAGTTGCTTCTAGCAGTAACATGATCCCATTCTGAAAACAAATTTACATACCTAAACATATGTGCAGACAAAATAATTTGAAAATAGCCCTGGCCAGTGTGGCTCAGTTGTTAGAGCACAGGCAGGCACACCGAAAGGTTGCAGGTTCCATTCCAGGTCAGGGCCCCGGCGGGTAGTAGTCAATCAATGTCTCTTTCTTTCTTTCCTCCTCCTGCCTCCTTTCCACTCTCTCTCTAAAAAAACCAAAAAACAACAACCAAAAAACCCACAAGAAAAAAAAAAAGGAAAAAATATTCTCTGGTGAGGACAAAATATAATAAGGATAATTTGAACCCAGCTGGTGTGACTCAGTTGTTGAGTGTCAACCAGGAGGTCATGGTTCAATTCCCAGTCAGGGCACAAGACTAGGTTGCAGGCTCAATTCCAGTGTGGGGCATGCAGGAGGCAGCCAATCAATGATTCTCTCTCATCATTGGTGTTTCTCACTCTCCCTTTCTCTTTGAAATCAATAAAAATATATTTTGAAAATATTAACAGTGACTATCACTAAATGGTGGGACCATGGATGACAAACTTGTCTTAATAAGTTTTGAAATATTTGCAAGAATCCTATATTATCTCAATCATTAGAAAGAGAACAATTAGGTTATTTCTATCTTGGGGAAAAAAATGTCTAGAATGAAAAGTGCAGGCAGGCATCCCAGGCTATTACAAATTTGGAAGCAGTCCTGGACAGTTTTTCTCAGTGGTTAGAGCATCAGACCAAAGTGTTGCGAGTTCCATTCCTGGTCAAGGGCATGTACCTCAGTTGCTAGTTCGATCCCCCACCCCAGTCAGGGTTCAAGCCAAAACAATGGGTTGATGTCTGTCTGTCTGTCTCTTTATCTCCCCTTCCTCCCTTCCTTTCACTCTGCCTAAAAATCAATGGAGAAAATATCCTTGGTGAGGATTAAAAAGAAATAAATTTTGGGAGCAAATAGGCTAGTGTATGTGACCCTGGAAGGGACAACAAAGAAATTAGGGAGATGGCAGTGAGTAACCTTATTCTGTTGGTCAACTTCCCTGCCAAATCACTGAGGCACATTTGGACGGTTGCAGGGGTGGGGAATTTCGGGCCCCTGGCCATATAAGGCCCATGAAATCATTTGGTCTGGCTCTGCAAGCCATTAGGGGTGAATTAATTAAATGTTTGGCCAAATATAGCAGGCTAATTTCTAAACTGGTAATTTTTTATGGCCTGTAAAAGATGCTATAAATATCCATATGGCCCTTGGCAGAAACAAGGTTCCCCACCCCTGGACTATGGGAATGAACAAAATCCAGGGAAGTGAAAATTCTAGAACAAAGCTCTGGTTTAGGCTTCTGTCTGGTTCAGGAAAATTCTCCATAAATGTGGTTTCCTTCTCTCTTCCCTTTTCTCTAAATCACTAGAGTAAATCTCTTAGATAGAATCCTGAAATATGATAGTGTTCTGAAAACCAAGAAACCCTTTCCAAGAAGAAAGTACCACATACAACTTACCTCTGCCATGGCTTTTGATGCACAGCGGCTCTTCTTTCCTCCTGTTCTGGATTCTAAGAGAAGAAAAAAGGTGGAAAGAGATTAGAACACTAGGAGACAACAGGCTCTCCCAGGTTCCGGAAGGAGGCCCAGTTAAAACAAATCCCTGCCCCACCCCAGGCACTAAGAGGTCCAAAGCCAAAGAAGTCTGCAACTTCCACCATCCTCTCCATCATATCACAGAAGCACAGTGGCCTTAGGGGTCCAGATGGGAGTCCTGTGAGAGAATCCTAGACTGTGGCTGCCTTCTTCCATTAAGCCTGACTTGGGGTTCTTCCAAGCCCGGTAGATTATACTGAGCCCAGATCTGTAGCTCCAAGACACAGGGTAAGTGGATCCATCTGCCAGAGTCCCCACACCTCTAGGCTGGGGGCACCTCTATGGGGCGAGATCCCTGGCGACCAGGGTGAAAGAACAAAAAGTACAAGTAGGAGGAGCTCCCAGGCCCAAGCTCTACAAACCGGCTGGACAGCAGAAACAACCTCCGGGCGAAAGCTATTCACCGGGCTGGAGAGCAAATGGCGGCGGTTTGTCAGCAGTGGCAGGGCTGGAGAGTGTAATTGGAGATACAAAGGCTGGAAATGCAGGCGGGGTCTGGGGTAGACGCCCAGAACCCATCCACCGCCCGACACTCCCAACATTGACCAAGAATGGACAAAGAGGGCGCCTTTCCCAGTTCTAGGCCCAAAGGCAGAGACGGAGTCGTGGCCACGTGGGATTCTCACACCAGGGCCACAGAGAGCTCCGCTCAGATAGTGCACTCCGCGTGTTACCACAGGCACTGCTAGCCCTGCGCCGGGAGTCGGCGCACGATACCGGTAGGGAAAGCGTCGCACGTACTTGCCGCCGAGGCAACACCCGACCTCCTGACACCGCCAGCTGAAACCACGTCCACCCCGTGCACGCGCGACCGCTACCTCCCCATCCGGCGGGAGGACACGCGGCCACGGCGCCCCAGGTCTCCCGGACGTCCTTTCTTTTACCAGCGAGGGCGTGCAGCCTGGACACGCCCCAGAGACACCCAGCCCCGCCCGGGGGTGCTTCATGTCCACTCACCCGGGTGCCTTGTACTCTGGTTAAGCGAATCCGCCACTAAACAGTGAACTAGTTTGTGAAGCGCTTCCTCAAACTTACCACAGGCCAGCCAACTCCGGCTGTAAATGGATATGCCGCGGAGCCGTAGGGAAATGTAGTCCACCGGAGGGAAATCCAGCGAGGGTCCGGCCGGCTCAGGCTTCTCCGCCGACTCGCAGCCCAAGCCTTAGTGAAGCTCAGTGCTGATCACCCAGTACACCTGAGCATCCTCCGAGGATCTGGGCGACCCGACAGGTCTGGGTAGCGCGAGGTGGCTGCTGAGGATTAAGAACAGGTGGTGGACCCTCAAGGCTTCTCAGATATGTAGCCCACAGCTTGGGAAAGGGCGGAGCGGTCCTCCACCAGGATGACCCAGAAGTTAAACCGTCTCCAACAGTCTTCGCCCCAAACTTGGAGATGCCCAGAGATCTCTAAAAACTGTAGTTAAAAGCCGGGAAACCGACTGTCCAGAGTTCTCTCCACAAGGAGCAGGGCTCTGAGCGCAGGACCAGCAAAGGACTACTCTCCACCACGCCACAAACTAGGAGTCGTCCAGACCTGGGCGGTTCAGCTCTCAGAGACCCACAATCCTGGTCGCGCTGGGTGCTCAACTTTCAGCTGAGAATTTTTTCCCTGAACCTGGGCGCCGCTGGGAAGTGTAGTCTTCAGTCCGGAACGCCATAACACTGCAGCCCAGGCTTTTCAGCACAATTTGAGCCGCGGGATAGTGGCTGGGTCCACTCTGGAGGCATCCGGGAAATGTAGTTCGGGCCTTGGGATTTGCGGATGTGCCCAGACTGAAGGCGGGCAGTCTTGAGCTCTGGGTGAGGGAATCTGAGAAGGGACTGGGAGGACAACCCTGGGTCCAGAGTGGAAATAATGGAGTACCAATACAAAACTACTATTTTTATGTTTTATAAATACATAAATACACATAGAAAGGCACTTAATAAGCTCTCTGGAAAGTTACACTAACATTTGTTAACAGTTTATTTCTAGGACGTGTAATTGTGATATTTATTCTTTTTACTTTAAGAGTATGCTCATATTTGGGGCATTATCATGTCCTTCTTATGAAACATTGCTTATTAAATTTAGTTAAATATAAAATGAGTAAGTATACACCCGAAACCGATGTACTAGAAAACAAAAAAGTGGACCAGATTTTTAAAATTCACAATTTGGTTCTAAGAGGTCAATTAAAAGAAATATTGATAAACAATAGCAAAACAAAAAATTAAATCAAAACAAAAACATTAGAAAGGTTAAACCACACAGCATTTCACAGAAATTTGAGGCTGTTAGGTATTATGTGAAACTCTATAACCACAGTAGAGGTAATTGTAGATTTTCTAGTAAAATTTAAGTTATTAATTTTAGTAAGAAGTAGAAAACCTGAATGGAACAATAACCATAATAAAACTTAAATGTCTTAAAATATGTACTAATGAAAAGTATCCAGATGATTATAGCTGAGTTTTAGCTAATTTTTGAACTCATAATGATTATGCAATTTATTCAGATCTTAGAAAATGATGGAATGTCCTCTAATAATTAATTTTGTCTAACTAATATAAAATCTGATAAAGACAGGCTAAAAGAAAAGTATTACCCATCTTGTATTAAAAGATAAACTGAAGCATGTTACAATTTTCAAGAGTTTATCTGAGCATAAATAGATTTGAATCAGGCAGAATGCTCCACCAACAGGAGCTAGTGGAGAGATTTTTATAGAGAAGACCCAGAAGCAAAACAAGGAAATTATTTGGTTGGGACAGCTTAAGCATTTGCCTTATTTTGGAAAGCTAAATTGGATGTTTGTGATTGGTTGTTTTTAAATTTTATTTTCTCCAAATTGAGTCATTCACTCTGGATTAGTTTTTTGTTTGTTTATGTAGGGACTGAAGGCAGTATAGCTACCTAAATCTAATGGTGTCCTTGTTTAATAACTTTAACATTTGTAATTAATTACTGATGCAAAAATTCCAAATAAGAGGCTGATTTCAACAATGTAGTTTAAAATTTGTAGAATGGATTTCATAAAAATATTTCATAACATTGGAAGAACCATAAGCAATCCAGTGACAAAATGCATTGTACGAACAAATTAAAGAAAAAGAAATATATATATTAAATGATGCCAATAAGATAATGTGGTAGATAGAATAATGTGGTATATAGAATAATAATGTGGTAGATAGAACACTTCAAGATGTCCAAGTCCTAATCCCAAGAACCTGTAAATGACTATGTTATTTTACATGACAGAAAGAGACTTTGCAGAAGCATGCATTAAATTAAGGCGCATTAGAGATGAGAAGATTATCCTGGAATATCTGAATGGCCTAATGTAATCACAAAGGTCCTTATAAGAGAAAGGTAGGAGCATCAGAGGCAGAGAGGTTGGGCTTTAAAGATGGAATAAGCTGCCATGAGCCAAGGAATACAAGTAGCTTCTAGAACAGTGATGGCAAACCTACAGGTCTGGGTAGCGCGAGGTGGTGACACGCGAACTCATTTTGGGTGACACACATCGAAAGAGACAAAAAATTGCATAATTCAAATATTTGTCTCTCGCAACGGCCAGAGTTGGGCATCACTTGAGTATAATATTACTCACGTTACTCATGATCAATAATGCAATTCTAAAACCGGATGTAAACATGTACATGGTGTTGCGTAGCAAAAATACATAGTGAAAACATCCAAGATACATTGTTCCAATATTGACATTAATATAAAAAGGTTAAGAATTGCACTATAAAGAGATTAATCTTTACTCATGACATTTTATTTTTACTCGAGTGACAAAATGCCCAATTCTGGAAATGGCCTCATTATTGTCAACATGTGCCTCGGGTAAGCTTCCTGTGCGTTCGGGTGCATTCGGCAAGCGGACGCACTTGATTGCCATGTTCATTAGGAGACAGGAGTGGGAGGGTTAGAAGAAAAGGATATACAGTGCAACAGTGCTCGACGAGACATTCTGCTTGTCAGATAATTGATTACAGCACCATATATTTGTTGGTTATACATACTATCTTTGAATTGTTTTGCACCAGGAGTCAGTGCAACAACACTGCAAAAAGTTAATAGGTAAGAAACCTATCAACCTTTTATAAAAAACGCTGTGATTTATATTTATTTATTTTTGCAGGCTTGTGATGGAGAATCAAAAAAAAAAGCAAGATGGAATGATAAAGGAAGTGGAAGTAGCAGAAGCTGACCCTTTCAAGACATATGGACCAAGATGTACGGGGTTGTTGACAGAAACAACAGGTCATTGTGCATACTGTGTAATGAGACGGTAGTAAGCAGAATGTGGAATTAAAGAGACATTTTGAAACTAATCATTGTCAGCGCTTGAAAAAAAGTATCGATGAAAGGAAGGAATACATTTCTAGGCAGCTACACCTCTATAAAAGTCAATCAAATTCCATCATTAAATTTTTAAGATGCTCTACAAATTTAACATCAGGTCGAGACTTGAAAATCTGGAACGAAATCGTTTGAATAACGAAGAAGAGTGCAACTATGAACAAGAAATTTTGAGTGCTTGGACAGAGTACCTGACACTTTTAGCTACATAAAAAATCTAGCGATGGCTTTGCTAACAATTTTTTCATCAACATATTTTTGTGAGACTTTGTTCTCAGCATTAAATAATATGAAAATGAACAAAAGAAACCAGCTAACAGATGAAGTTAGTGGCGCTTGCTTAGCCTTGAAGTGCACCAAGTATGAACCTGCAATCGAAGAATTAGCAGACAAACTTCAGCACCAAAAAAGTCACTAATTTCTAGTTTTCGTGCCATTTGATTATCATTGTTTTTATTATTATTTTTTCCTAAATGTACATTGTTTTTCTGTTTTTGTTCATTTTATACAAATTTTTGGTTGATTTTTCTTTGTTAAATGGCATTTAAATATACAAAATAAATGTCAAAAATATAAATTTTTTTTTTACTATGGTTGCAAATATCAAAAAAAATTATGAATATTTCTATATGTGACACGGCACCAGAGTTAAGTTAGAGCTTTTCAAAATTTTGACATGCCGAGCTCAAAAGGTTTGCCATCACTGTTCTAGAAGCTGGAAAAAGTAAGGAAATAGATTCTACCCTAGAGCCTCCAGAAGGAACACACTTCTGCCAATGCCTTGATTTTAACCCATAAGAGGCATTTCAGACTTCTGACCCCAATCTCTGGAGGAGGAAATCTTCCCTCAGAGCAGGAAGAGAATGGAATGACCTGTCATTCATCAGAAAGTCATGTTCTTAATAAGTTCTGCTGCCTTACTTCCTGAAATACTGGTTCCCCCCAACCCAACCAAGATATTCTGTATTCCTCCCTCTGCAAAATTTTCTTATAGAAACAAATTGAGAAACTATTTCTAGCTCCCTAGTTCTTCTGTTCCAGTGGGATCTTTTGGTACATCCTCAAGCAGCTCAGTGCCTTCCCATATTTATTTCTTCCATATATAAAAAGTCACCTAATAGGCAAATTTTCTTTGTTTATTTTGAAAAATTTTAAATCTTCAGAGGCATTAAAAGAATAGTACAAAGAACTCTTTTTAAGGTCTTTATTTATTTTTCTTTATTGATTAAGGTATCACATATGTGTCCTTATCCCCCCATTTCCCCCACAACCCCTCCCCACTCATGCCCTCACCCCCCTGGTGTCTGTGTCCATTGGTTAGGTTTATATGCATGCATACAAGTCCTTTGGTTGCTTTCTCCCCCTTACCCCTCCCCTCCCCTACCTTCCCTCTGAGGTTTGACAGTCTGATTGATGCTTCTCTGTCTCTGGATCTATTTTTGTTCATCAGTTTATGTTGTTCATTATATTCCAGAAATGAGTGAGATTATGTGGTATTTATCTTTCTCTGACAGGCTTATTTCACTTAGCATAATGCTCTCCAGTTCCATCCATGCTGTTACAAATGGTAAGGATTCCTTCTTTTTTACCGCAGCATAGTATTCCATTGTGTAGATGTACCACAGTTTTTTAAACCACTCATCTGCTGATGGGCACTTAGGCTGTTTCCAAATCTTAGCT